GGCTGACTGGCCTGTAGTTCCCCAGGTCCTCTTTCTTATTCTTTTCGAAGACTGGAGTGATACTGGCTTTCCTCCAGCCCTCAGGCACCTCTCCTGTTCTCCATGACCTTTCAAAGATGATGGAGAGTGGCTCAGCAATAACATCTGCCAGCTCCCTCAGCACTCATGGGCGCATCCAATTGGGGCCCATGGATTTGTGGGTGTCCAGTTTGCCTAAACGATCTCTAACCCGATCCTCCTCGACCAAGGGAAAGTATTCCTTTCTCCAGGCTTCCCCTCTTATCTCCAAGGTTCTGGAATTCCTGAGGGCCTGCCTTAGCAGTAAAGACTGAAGCAATGAAGGCATTCGGTAACTCCGCCTTCTCAACTGCAATAGCCTGTAATCACAATAATGCTGCGTAACAGCTTTATTACAATATGGCAATCTATTCCACTTCAGAACAAAAAATCTTCTCACTTACCCAATATAGATACTTTACTAAGGAATTCCTCATACATCTTTCTCTTTCTCAAAGTACTCCCCTACAAAAAAAAAAACAACAAACAAGCACACAAAGTAAGTTCTCTTTCTACTTCACATTTTACATGAGGCTTCAAATAAAACTCAAGACAAAAATAAGTTTAACCAGACATATTGCATCCTCTCACAGACCCCACACCCACAAGATTAAGTGTTTTCAAATTTAATTATTGCAGTAATATTTCAGAGTTGAACAATCTTCAGAAAGTACTTTGCATTTATGGCAGCCTTGATGTTTCTTAAATGCATTCTAACTGTATAACCTTACCAAAATTCACAACACTTGCTCAAGTTAGTTACAGTTGCTGTTCACACACACTACTTACAAATAGCAAGCTAAATACAGAGCAGAATCAAAACATCTGGCAAGTTAACCAGTAGGTATTACATTTTAAGTCCAGTTTAATACTGCATTGGCATTTTATTGCTCACTAATGCAAGGTTCCCCCCTTGCCCCGTGCCTGATAAACGTATGCTGAGTGATCGGCTTTCTGATTACAAAAGAGATAGCAGGATTTTGAGTAAATAACTCCAGCAAAGGACAGGCACAGGTAGAAGGTCAGATGACCAGTATAAGTTGAGTGAACAGTAAAACCAAAAGTATAATTCCAAGTTATGCACACAGCTACTTGAGTCAATGGCATAAGCTACACATCAGCTAGAAAAATACTTGCCATCAGGATCCTTCTATAGCTATCTCTATCAATGCCCCACAACTTCACATTCGTCTTCGCTTTGACAGTTGCAGCACGTGGAGTTCCGTATATAAGGGCAAGCTCTCCAAAGCTTCCACCCTCGCCAACGCTGGTTGCCCACTCGCTGTTCACATAAACCTGAAAGGCAGTGCATGGTGGTAAGTCAAGGCCCACAGTGTCTTGTGAGCTGGTCAGAGATGACATGGAGCTCCTGCAATACCCCCTATTTCCTTTATAGTAAAGGGACATTCTCACATCTATACAGTCAGAGTTGACCATTTCAGGGTTTCATCAACACTTCACAGCCAACCCCAGTCCCAGTCACAATTTTTACTTTCATCCACAAAGGGACTCTTCTACATCACATGCAGAGAGACTACACACGCAGACTCCCGAGACCCCTTGGACAGGAAATAAAATCTCAACAAAGTCTCTGTCAGAGAAAGCTATGGATTAGCTAGACTGGAAAATAAAAAGCCTGGTCATTCTTAAAGCCTGTCCCACACCTCAGCTAGACTCCACCCTGTTCTTGTAAAGCATTAGTATTGTGCTGATGTCCAAATCATTCATTTTGAAACTCAACACAACTCAGTCTGTGCAGCCAGACTGAGCTGTTAAGGAGCAAAGAGGCTCCAAAGCAAAATATGCTTCTACAAGTAAGAATTTATTAGGAGAAAAGCTGCTAAATGAAGGATCTGTAGAAGAGACCTACACATATCAGCTTATTCTTCTGCTAGGAATGAACATATCATTAATAAAACTACCAGTAATGCTTACATCCATTTCTCCTTGATCAACAACATAGAAGTTATCACCTTCATCACCTAAAGAAGAAAGAAAAAAAAAAAAACACCACTGAATAACTGAATACACACTAAGAAGAGAGTAAAGCTATGCAAACATTCATGTTTCACAGAACTGGCATCTCTGCCAACTTCGATGTTTAGAATCTAATAAGGTTGACAGAAACAAATTTTTGCACAGCTTGCAGGGTGAAATTTCACATTTTGCTGATTTTGCACTCCTCAGTCCTGTGAAAGGGGACATCTACTGCTATGCGGGAGATCAGCAGCATTTCCAGGACTACTGGAAAGGCATACAGGATCCATAAACTGACATAACATGTTCTACAGAGCCACCAAATGACAGTATTTCCAACAGATACCATACACAATGAAACTGCATCTTCCTACAATTGCTCCACTCCTCACTTTAGTATGAGCTGTGCTTCAGGCAATGTAACCAGAAAGGGTCACTGCATCCAGACAATTATTTTATTTTCAAAAAAAACCCTCAAAAACTAGTAAGAGTACTAGGTCAGAGCCTGGTCACCATCTCCAACATATTCATCAATGTAAACATTGTCACTTGCCTTGCTGAATGACAGTCTCTCCTGCAATGTAAGTGACAGGGAACATTGCATCAAAGATGTCACTGAAGAAAAGGATACCAAAATTAGACAAATGCCTGGACAACTGCCACGCATGCATGCATTCATATATCTGTGCCTCCAACCCGTCAGTACTTTTCCTATGCCTCTGTATGGTTACACTGACTGTTGTAAAAAGGCAGTGCAACTTTGTACGTTATGACTTTTTCCGAAGTCTGCACTTTAAGATTACAAAGACTTATTCCTACCTTCGTTCATTATCATCAAGATGGGCAAACAGCACATTCTTCTCAATAGCTTTTGCCAAAGCAGCCATAGTCTTATAATCTTTTGGAATAACCTAGGATATAAATCAGAAAAAGTAACTGATTCATTTTTTCAAGAAAAATTTTGGCATTCCCCAGGGTAAATAAATTATTTAAATTGCTACAAAACACCGTTTTGAGTTTTTCCAGTTTCTTTCAAGCACTATAGATGTAAATACAAATATAGTCAACGTTTACAGCCAGTTTGTGCAGAAGGTAAATAAAATCTTTTATTATTTTATGCAACTGTAAAATCATCATTTCATGCTAAGTTTATAAGGTTTTTTTTGCAACAGGACAAGTATCAGTTCAACTTGTGTTTTCCTATGAATGGCAGCAAGCCTGCTCTGCCATTAGGTTGAATGTAATGTTGTTGCAGCTGTTGAGGAACTGGAAGCACTTTGTTTATATATATAAAATACATAAATATACATATATCTAAATATATACTACTTCAAAGGGAACAGGTCCAAGTTATGCGTAAATGATGTAATTGCATGACAGTTTATTCTAACCTCCAATTAAACAGCAGACACAGGTCTGCTTTTTACAGTTATCACAAGACTTAACAGGCTACAGGAGCTTCATGTTACTTAACACACTGGACAGAAGGTGGTCTTAGATAAACTCTCGGATTGTAGATGCAATTTGTAGCAACTTTTAAAAGTTAGAGCACCTTTCTAACATAAGATGCAGCATCCTCTTCTGTATAGACTTCTGCACTGATGGCCCCACGCCTTCTTCGACCCTTAACCACAGGGTTCATAGGAGGAGGAGGAGAGATTTCATCCTCCCGTGAGTCTGAGCGAGAACCAGACTTCTGTTGATTCAACAACTGTTTTGTTTCCTCCTAAACAGGAAGGAAGACATGTTTGTGTCACATAATCCAGTAAAGAAAAAAGCCATCATATGTCATATTCCAATTTAGTCTGCCAGTGCAAGGGAGCTTCCTGCGTACTGTTACTCCCACATTAAGGCAAACAGGAGACTACAGCAACCAAGATCAAAGGCCTTTCAAAACAGATGGTAGATATGCCTTTCATTCATAACATTAAAATAAACACCATTGTGATATGAATAAGTTACACTATAGTTTACTAAGTTAAGAAGTACAAACAAATTGATTGTACTTTCCATTAGTGTATTCAACAAGCAATAAAGACGTCCTGCAAATGCTATAGACTGTAAACCCAGCAGTTCTTTCCCTCAGCTGCGAGGTGTTAAGCCTTTTTTGATTTGAAAGACAGAAGAGCAATTCCTCAGAAATCCATGTTACATGAGAAGCTTCTGAAACAAGGTCAAGTCATAGACCAACTTGATACTCAATAACCAACAGTTATTTTAGGAGAAAGAAATATGAACGCTGCTTACAAAAGAGCTGGAGGAAGGATGCTAGAGGCCAAACAGTAGGGTTTCTTTCCACAAACCACTGACTGACCTGTCAACTCTGCACGATGTTACACATTTTCCTTACCTCCCTCAGTTACCTGTTGGGCTGTGTTTTAGTGATACTGTAGAAGACTAGCATACTTACAATAAAATAGAAGTCTATCTAACTTGACACACAGAAATTTGATTCTTCTATGTAACAGAAGATTTACCTTAACCAACTAAAATCAGATTTTAAAAAAAAAAAAAGCAAACAAACAAAAAAGCCAACCTTGGAGCCAGAGTATTTGCATCATAACAGCTCAAATGACTTTCCCAGCCTTAAGGAAACAGGGTTTTGGGACATGCCTTAAAAGAACAAGGAGTCATCTCTTCTCTGAGAGCTCACGGCATTTTTAAAAGCTGGGTTTGTCCCAGTGTCCTTGATCAAACCATCCCCTGCCCAGCTGGGCAGCTTGCTGCTTGGCTGCCACGCTCCACTCCGGAGGTGCACAGAGGCTATGTATAACAACAGCACTTTAAGGAAAGGGACATCAGATAACCATTACAGTGAGTTTACATTTTACACCTCTCAGATAGTCAAAGAGCAAGCACTGATCCACCGAATTACATTTCACTTCCTGCTTTTTGCCCATTGATTAAATAGTGCTACATTTCAACATGATGGGAGTAAAACATTTAAAACCTTGCTTCTATCTTCGATTTTAGAGAAACAAGTCTCAACTGAGATGAAGCTAAAAATAGCTTAGCGGTAGCGAGTGTTCGGTTTAACCTGCCTCTCTACAAAGTGGGCAACACCACTAACCACAGAAACATACTGTTCATTCACATAGGGCATACTTAACCCATAAAAAAAAACTTGATGCCTTTTAAATAAGTGAACACCAGCTGCTGTATTTTTCCAGTATCATATAAAGTATAAAAATACTGAGATCCTGTAACTTTCAGAGATAGAAGCACTTCAGCAGCATTTAGCAAGGGAGCTGTGTATCAAAACACTGTTCAACAAGAGACTCACCAGGGTAATGGCCCACTCGAGGAATGAGGAAACTGCACTAACAGAAAAAGTACAACTGATAACTTCTGCCTGATCTGAGATTTAACATTACTCTATCAAAAAGAAGTATGTTAAGGTAGGGCATGGACTTAGAAACAAGTTACAGGTGGGTAAGATAATACAGTAACTTAAAATATACCAGCTATTCTAAATAGTCTACATACACACGCATCAAGAGGAAGATTACCCCTGAATGAGACAAATCTCCATATATTCACATTACATATTGCAAGACAACACTGTGCTGTGGAGTAAGTGATGTGCTAAAATCTCATTGTTTTAATAGCAGTAGCTTTTCAGGTATTCATCTTTTTAAAATATACCTTTTATAATTTCTCATACTAAACTACGTATATTAGACGACCAGATCAGAGAAAAATTACACTAGGACCTGAAGAAAGAGTGGCAGTTGTTATTCTCAGTTACTTTAGAATTTAGCCACTGTTTACAAGTGAGAAAACGTATTTGTTCAGGTTTAGAAGCTCCTCAGATTAAACGCATAACGGACAAAGGCATTCATTTTGCTCTGTACTGATCGGTATAACCATTACCAGGATTTTAAAAAGGATTAGTAATCAAGTTAGCCTATTTCTTACATAGAAGTGTTGATCCTGTCTTTCAGCTGATGAAGCAGTTGAAAGTTTTCAGTGTCAGTGACCACTAACTGTAAATTTTATTTTTCCTGACAAGTAAGAAATGGTTATTAATTCCATTTAAGTTATTACAAGTGAGAAATATTAAAGTGATTAGATTTCACATACTTGTATTTAAGTCTATCAGCTACTGAAGAATATCTTCACAATTTCAGAACTATGTTTTACACTGTATAGTCTGGCATCTGGTAATCATCATTAAACCAGAAACAGTCTCGACTTCTTTTGGCTAATTAGCATTTATTTGTATCAGCTCTCCACATATTTTTTAAAAAAACAAACACTCAGAAGCTAAAAAAGCAGTGTTAAAATCTCTACGCTAAATTCACAGCTGCACAGTATATCCTTCTTAACCACCATGTTGTGCAAAAAAAAAAAAAAAGCCCTTAGGAAATAAGAAGATATTCAGGTATGTATCCGTGGAGGCAGGGCAGGTGGTGGGGAACAGGCACCGTGACTAGATGTCAATCGCACTTTATAATTCCAGCTTTCTATAAAGCCTACTATGTACATAACTGCATTACACGCAATATTTCAAGCATGCACTTATTCCAGCGGACAGCCATGTCCAATATCCAAGATTAATCTGGCAGGCTGTAATAATGATCTCTACATTAAATTTCCATAGCTCAAACTGCATCACAGAGCCAAGCACAGCACTGGACAGCTATTAGCTTTTAGTATGCATTGGTGTTACCAGACATGTTTGCACAGCAAAAAGAACAGAGGCCTTAGTACACCACAAACAGATAAAATAAAAACATTTATACAATCAATGTGTAGTAATTAGATTCACGGAACGGCTTTCATAACTCAGAAGAGGACACCTGAATTTCTATAGAAGCTACAACAATGTCAGAGGCAGAAATTTGAATGTTTCTGAACATAAATTCAAAAGCATGTTTAAGCATCTTCAACGTATTTTAATAACATGACAGGGAATCAGCTCTGTGTTTGCACACTGTGGAAGAGATGACTTGTCAGGGTAACTAGAGAGAAAATAGCAACCTTGCTTCAGTTTTAAATGGTGTTCCTTCAAAATTCAATCTTAAAAAAACCCATACTATATCTCAACCTCAATTTCATCCAGCCTAACAGATGAACATATTTAGAAAGTATATTGAAAAGTTGCTCTGCTTTATTAAAGATTTAACAGACATGACTTCGGGCAGGTGAACCAGATTCGGTTTCAAACATTTTTGCTTTACCAGAGCTAAGTACCAGGCTAGAGCTGGTTAATAATAGCACTTAGCATTTGTGCTTTCCAGACACGGCTGTCAGGGGAGTTTGCTAACGTAGCACAGGATGTTCACGGTTCTGTTACTTGATAGCTATTACAGTACCACATTACCTGGTTAAACTAAGACCAATCCATTAGACTGCATGGTGAAATTACTTAGAGAAAGCCATAGCACTCTTTAAATTCAAGAACAAAAGAAGAAAAATGCTACATTTTCACTTGTAGCTACAGCTGCACTAGTGTGCATGTATAATTCATGCCAACACAACTCCTAATAAAAAACATTGACCAAAATTCTAAGAGTAATTTAAGGGTAAAAACCATTACCTAACCAGTTTTATTTTCAGCATCCTTGTAGGCTGACCGAGTACATAGACAGCTTATTTGCACCAGAATAAAATCATCAAGAGTTATTTAACTCCAGAATATATGTGATTAAGTTCAGAGCTAGACTTGTTGTCTTGCTAAAAACAAATTAATTTTCCTTTAGTCTTAAATAACGCATGTTGACTGTAAGTCCACTACACAAAAGCATCCAAATATTCCTATTTTATATCCCTACATATGGATTGGTTTACATTTTATTCTAAGTGCAGTAATGCACTTTACTTTGTAAAGTTTTGTATACCAACACTTGTGGTGATGTTTTAACAATTCTTAATCTATCAGTACTTAGAAACCCAAGAATCCAAGGTCAGGAATGAGGCACTGTAACAGGCAGGAACAATCGATTTTTAAGAACCTGATTACTACCTGGTTTGCTGCTGGTATTCTCTCTGAAAGAGAATGTACTTGAGATGCAACTATACAAAAAAAGTCAGACATATTACAGAGTTCTTGTTCATTTAATAAGCAAAATGTTCCTCAAATACATTATGAGTTATAGGAGGTTAGTTTGCACCATTTGGTCATTTTCTAGTATCTACCTTGAACACTTCCATCATAAGACAATTTCCACTATACATATTTATGATCTCTAGTGTTAATTTCTTTCTTCTTTACATCAGCAATTAGTAACTAGCTAGAACCAAAAAAAATAAGAAAAATATATAACTCCCATATACAACAAGTGCTGAAGGCAGCACCTGCAAATGACTGCTGTAGGAGGTAACAGCTACATTATTTACTAAATGTGTGTTTCTGAATAGAGTCATTGTATCTAACCTTTCCTCTGCATCAGCCTTTAAAACCTCCCATTTTCACAGCAGCTTCTTTTCCTATCTGCTTAGATACCAATATATAAAATGAACCGTTCAAAAGAACATGAAATCACTGTTTCAAATATGAGCACCAAGATGACAAAATGCTTTCCATTCCCAAGATCCCAGAATGCTTCCATCAACGACAACAACAAAAACACCTAAGAGACCTTGAGGACAAACACAAAAGGAACAACAAAGCAAAACACGGACACTGAACTCCCAAGAGAAGGCAGAAACAGGCTTGCTCTCCTAGAGGTTTAGAACACAAATACTTCCGTTTGACTTCAGCTAGGCCTGGATAACTACCACTGGCCTATTACTTCTGTGTTGTACCCAAATTATTGTAAACCATTTGCCTCTATACAAGAAACCAAATGCCTATCTCCACTGTCCAACCAAGGTCAAACACCACAGTTATCATCTAACTACAGACACAATCACGTACACTATCTATTAGCTTCTATGAGTAAGCATTAGATTGGATTACATCTGCATCCCAGCTGGGTAAGTCTCCTTGTCAGCTTATGTTCTGCCCCATGTGCTTTGTTATGACAGAGGTGCTTTTACACCACAATCAACTGGCATAAACTACTGGAAAATAGGATTTGTTTTCCAAAAGCATCAGCTCCAATTTCAAACGGCCAATACGAACATCAGTCAAATCTGAAGGTCAGTCTCTAAATCACAAAGAGATGATGTAAATTTAGGTTGTTCCACTCTCCTCCCACTACACATTTTTACCTTCTCCAATCTTTCAAAGTATTCTCTGAGGAATCCCATGGGTCTTTCAGGTCTCACTGTGCATAACTGTACAATGCAATCCTTCAGAAGTTGCTGGATGTTGTGTTTTTGGACATAAAGTTCACATTCCCGAAGACTACGCTCCTCCTCGCTGCTGCTGCTGCTAGAAGTTGCCATTGCTGAAGATAAGAGAAAGAGAAGGTTAACTAACTAGTGGAAATGAAGATGCTGCTGCCCGATTATAGTCGGGCACGTTATGCTGCCTAAAATAAAATTATGCTGCATTATCATCTTACTGATATCACGGCATAAAACTACCTCTATCTGTAACATTAGTAACTAAGCTAAACCACGAAAGAAGAAGCTATGAACTTATTTAGCACCTGGAAAAAAATAAAAAATCTGGGTGCTCTATAGCCATAGCACAAAAGGAAAAGCATTTGATGGAGCTGGAAAAGCTTCAACAACTCAAGCCCTGTGAACACTCAAATTCAGGAAAGCTTCCACCTAAACTAATTAAATCCAGTATTTTGTAGGATTGGAGGTTCGCTTCACAGAGCTGTATTGGGTCATGGGGATGATGACCAGGAGATAGGTGGGTGGAAGCTGGGAATCTGAGAGGCCAGTATGGAAAGTATTAGGAAGTGAAACATGATAAGGTTGAAGCCAAAGCCAGTTCACCAAATGCCATGGCAGAGTCCACTAACGGAAGTTACAGAATTAGGGGTGTTACTCCTGAAAAGCTACTCTCCAGTTTAAACTGCTCCATACTTTGTAACTATCTCCGTGGATACACTGCAACCGCAAAAATATTTCTTCAACTATACATAATCAAGAGTACGTCTTTAAACACATCTATTATAATGCCAGGTTTTCAAGAGACTTTACAATTATAGTGTCAGCTGTAACACTTTCAAAAATGTTCTTAAGCGGGTTTTTCACCCCCCTTTCAGGTTATAAAGCATTTTAAAATATATTTTTACGTATATATATATAAAAAAAAAACATTTCATGTCATTTTTTTCCCATAAAGTGATTAACACTGAGACAGCTAAAGAAATAGGCGAGAACTTCTCAGGACATTTTTGATGAAATATAAAGAAAGTTACCTGGTACAGGGACAGTGGCAACAGCTTATGAATATGCAGTAAGATACGTTGATCCCAGGATCAGCTTTTGAAAGGGGAAAAAATTGATTCAGTCAAAATAATTTAGAAAAATGACAAGTCACTGAAAAGTCAAGCAGTGCAGTCATATTATGCATTTTATCCTACTGAGGCAGCAGATTGAGAACCATAGGCCACACAGGCAATATAACACTGTGCCCCCTTTGAATTCTGCTACTAGAGATTACAGGAGGACTAGAGTTAATACGAAATTGCTAACACTTCAAACAGGTTTCATTCTTGTCACGGTTAATCCCTGCATAAGTATGCACAGACAGATGTATTGTGTGTTACATAAACACCAAGCACGGACTTCAAATGGACTGAAAAAGTGCCTTAAAGCTCTCCAGTTACTTCTTTTGTTTTGACAACTCGCACAGTGAAGGTCAGTCCTAATTAACAACCCCAGAGAAACTCGGTGGCTCCATGACAGCCTACAAATTACAATCTATGGAAAAAGCATCACGCTGCTGATAGCAGACACAGGCCACAGCTGCTCATAAGAACAGCAAGACCAGCGCAGAAAATACCAAAGAAATAATGAAAACTCCACCATTTTTACACAGTATTTTTTCCTGCACATTGCAAACCCGAAGCTTTCCAGAGCGCCCTAACGCACAGCCGCACTCTGACTGCCACGAACCGCCTGGCCCTGCCCGCCCGCCCCG